GCCCGCCCTCCTCTCCTCCTTCTTCTCCCTCCCCACCCCTCTCTTCTTCCGGCACCAGGGTTATCCGATAGGGCTCGGGGGCTTGCACCTGCCGCGCCTTGTAGAGCATGCCCACCGCGGCTTTGAACTGGCTCTTGCTGATCCCAAGGGCCGCCACCACCTCCTCGCTGTCGCTCCGGTCCCCAAGAGGCAACGACCCGTCCGCGGAGGCCAGGAGCGCGTCCCACACCACCTGCCGACCGTCCTGCAGCTTGGGGAAAGTTCCGAACTTCCGAAACGACACGTCCACTTTTCCGTCCCGCCGGACTTTTTGCACGTACACGGCGCACCGGTCCCCTACCCGCAGTCCTTGCCGGTCCCGCTGGTAGTCGAGCTCGTCCTCGTAGATCAAGCCACGGTACCGCCCATCCAACCGCACCGTAATGCCCAGATCCGAGAAACTCATCACTTCTGCCTCCATCTCTTGCCCGATCTCCACCACCTCCTCCGAGGCATGCGCCCACGCCTCCTCGTCCGCCCTCCACGGGGCTCTCCCGCCCGGCCCCCTTCTGGAGCCCCCGCCTCGACCAGTCTGGTCGTACGCGTCTTCATCCTCGGTGTACCCACGTGAAAACTGGGCGGCGCGGCCCCCAGGACTCGCCCTGGCCCCGCCGCCATTGCCGAGTGGCCCGTCCTCAATATCTCCTAGGTCGGCTGGGGGCAGAAGTTGCTCTTCCTCCTCCACGTCCATGCCCTGGTCACTTCCTTCGGACGTCACTGACGCTTCTGGTGACGTGGGGGCTGTGATGCTGCTGAGCTGCACGGGTGTCTCCGTCAGAGCCTCCTTCAAGCGCTCTTGCAGCACCCCCTTAGTGCCCGAGACGGGTTTCTTCAGGCGCCGGAGATGCTCCTTCAATTCCGTCACTTTCATCTCGTCAATGACCGCAAAGTACTCGGACGACGATGAGAGCATGCAAATGCTGGCGCGGTTTGTTGGAAGGAATACAGAAATATGACGGGCAATCGAAGGGGCGGACACGGCACTGAGTGGGGCAAAGGAAGGGAAGCGTGCGGCCAAGAAAGCAGAAGCCGAGGGTAGACCACGCCATAGGCATAAAGAGGAAAGCGTGAGGACGAACATCCTGTGCACGGGCATTTTCTCTCTTCGGAGTGCCTGTGGTAATGATACGACAAAGGCATTGGTCGTGGGCGTGAGATGTTGCGGTAATGCTCCGACCAACACGTACGGTCAAGATATGCGAGTAGGGTCCTCGCGGCACAGGAAAGTCAGGAAGGATTCCGGGGACAACCTGGTCAAGCTCGCGTTAGACTCTAAGAAAACGTGTAGCACACATGTCCATGGCTGTCTCAAGGAAAGCGGGGGCCATTTAAAAATGACCAAAAGGGGCATGAGCAGTCCTCGGGGAGAGGGCAAGTGAGACATTGAAAGGTCGACAACAAACTTCAACGCTGATCTTGCGCCGCCTCAGTTACACCCCCAGAGGCTGGCACACCGTGCCGTAGAAAGCAGTCGAGGATCGATAAATACGATACACAAGAGGCTCATATTGACATGTCCAGAGTGTATGGTGTCGTGCGATGGAAATTATTGTTGGTTTCGGGGGAACCCCCCTTAGTTCGACCTCCCCCGCGGGTCGTGTTCTTCCTGCCTCCATGTCCACAACGCTCAGCCTTTTCATTATGTATTGCACAAGCCAAGACAGCAATATAATGGCAAGATGTCTCAAAAGGCAGTTTCCTCATTTTGGGCTCTAATGCGGCGCTCTTTCCTCGGCGTAGCCCTTTTGGGTCTAGTGGCTTGCTCATTTTTGTCAAGGGTGCAGTGCGCGTTGGCTTGGTCACGACCTGTCTCTTTTGAGGTCCTCTCTGACAAGCTTCGAGCGCCTATCTTATCACCCAGTTTACGACTTCACTACATTGCTAGTGATCAGGCGCCCTTCTCATTTTCCACGCGGCTGTTCAGCAGCAGCACCAACGCCGTGCCCCTGGCAGTGTCCTCCTCCCCGACGCTCCAGGGGTCCGGGAGGGGGATCGTCTTTCCCGATGGCCGAGTTCTCTCTTTCGGATTCAAGCCCCGACCCAGGATCAGCCGCGTCGCTCTCCAAAGCACCGCCGTTTTCCTGGCAATCGCACGTCGCATGCTCGTACCCTTTAAGAAATGGAGGTGGCATATCACTGGACTGCCGTACTCCCACCTCACAAGCCCCCTCATCTCACTCGCATTCGTGCTCTTGGAGGCCTATGTCTACCTCGTCCCACTACGACAGCTCCAACTGCAACTTTTCTACGCCCCCTCCCTGGTCCCTCCGGAGATGCTTCGATTCCCTACCTCTCAATTTCGAACTCTATCTGCGGAGGACCTTCCGTCTTCCTCCCCCCGACTGCCCTCCTCCCCTCCTCCCTCATCCCCCATCCTTAAGCTCCACGCGCTCGTACACCGGGATGGGCCCGGCCTCGGTGCTCCCTCTTCGACGTCCCGCTCCAGGAGCCGAGGGGCCAGGTACCTCGTCCACTGCAACCATGGATTTGGCGCGAACGCCTTCTCTTTCGAGCCCGTCCTCGCCCCCCTGGCCCGCCTTCTCGGTCGGACGCATCCAGCCCTGGCCGTTGCGCACGATGCGCCGGGGTTCGGGCTTACCGAGGTGCCCAAGGAAGGAGGGAGGGAAAACGGGGCGGGAGGAGGGGAAGGTGAGCTGTTCACTTTCGAGCACAATGCCCGGTTGGGGGGGAGGCTGATGGAGGAGTTAGGACGAGAGGGTGAGAGGGACGGCGGGAAAGGGATGGCGGAGGAAGCGGACGAGGGAGGGGAGCGTCGTGTGTTCCTCGGTCACTCGATGGGGGCCTTGACATCGGCCTACATGGCCGTACGCCACGTGCAGCAGGAGGGAGGCGGGGATGGCGGGAGAGAGGCAGAAAGCGGCGTCACTGCTCCTGTCACGCTTGTCATGATTGCCCCCGCCATCATGCCTATGCGGCAATCGCCTTCACGGCTGCCTCCGGCTGGCCGTTTCTTTTTGGGACGCTTATTCCCCGAACGCGTCGCCCGTTACATTTTTCGAAAAACCGGTCCTGCACTCCGAGCCTCTCTCCTCTTCTTGACCGCGTCATTTCTCCGGGCATTGTGTTATTCCGACAAATTCTGGATGGACGGTCTGAGCCTCGCCTGGGGTGACGGCGGCCCTCCCCCTCCTTCGAC